TATTTATTAAATATGATAAATAGGTAAGAAACGTTTTCTTTTCTTTTTCCATCTTTACAATAAAATCGTGGTGACCGTCAGGATTTTTCAAATGATAGATGCATATTTATAATTATATTTCACAATGAATGACTTAGTCTATGATTGTTTTTGGTTTTTTTATGTTATATACCGAATAAGACAAATACTAGTGAGATCAACAAAAGAGACTAAATATGAATGATAATGCTAATGGAAACGCTGTATAGTCATAGCACGGAGGCGGAAAAAAGAATGGCTTTTATCATGATAATTTTAATTAGAGGTGTAAGCCGTCGGCTTCAGCAAAAATCGGCTGACGGCTGGCATCTCCAATTGTAATTTACATAGGAATGTCTCCTCTCCCAGCTATGCTAGAAAGAAAGAAAAATATTTATTTTAAATATAAATTAGACGATGCAGAAGAAAACACTTTTATAACTGCACCTGAAGGTTGAAAATAAGTTTTGTCTCGGTAAGGAAGTATACTTCCTATAAAACGTCTCTCTTATAAATACTGAAAAAAGTTAGTAAAAGATTTTTATTTTAGTCAAAAGTTGCGACATAGGAAAAAAAGAAAGATTAGTGATACATTGTAATTTACTTGAGATTTTCCTAAAATGAACTATATCATCTTCGTTCTACGATCTGTGTTTTTATATACGATTATAGAAAAAGCTCATCTAAAATATAATTTATGACTAATATTAGTTTTTTTTCTTTTCAGACAAGTAAGTGCCTGCTCGATTTAACTTTTACATGTATAAAATGATGTAAACGTTTTCTGTTCGATATCTCGTTTTTAATATGTTTAAAACATTTAGATTATTCAGCTTATTTTTTCAAATTAACAATCAACAATTCATAGTACATATATTCAGTGAATACATCAACATATAACAACGATCAATAACACATTTCCTATCCTCATCCATCGTAACAGTTATTGGCTCCTTGAATAAGTAGTACGTATAAACTTATATGATGTATTTCGCTAGCAATGGTGCTTCCGAGTTCTATCGATCATGAACTGTCTCTTGATTAATGGCTTCATCATTTCTATATCTCTTTTTTTAGTGGCAAATATTCATGGCCAAAACGCTGGATGTTGGAATAATTTAAAGGAATGGATTGAATGTTTTAATTTGTTCCCATCTGTGCCACCTTCAACCGACAAATGCGTTCTTCGTATACAGCAAATAGCAACAATATTATTTATTCTTTTATCGATCTCATTATTAATAATTCCTTTCTTCTATGTACCATTTCTGATGGGTACAGAAACTATCCAAACTATTCATGTTCAACAACCTTCTTTCAACTATTATAACTACTTGCTTTTCGAACATGCACACACTCTGCAATGTCCATGCACACAAATTTCGATCAATTACGAAAACTTTATTACTTTCGCTCCTATATACCATCAGGTATGTAATAGTACTTTTGTCAGCGATGCATGGATTCGTCATCTTGCTACAGACAATCGATCTACATTTCATGGAGATGACTTTCGAATAACAGGCGCACATGCATTTCGAGCCTTACACATGTTTTGTGAACTAGCTCAGAACACGGTTGCGAATAATTTCGTTCGGTTCGTTTCAAGCCAATATTTCAGCAGATTTGTCACTTCTGAAGCAGCGTTCGATGGGCAAATTGCATCAGTGCTAAATCAGTTTCAGTCATCAATGACAGATAGCTTTTTATTATCTTTCAAGATGATTCGAGACACTACTCAAGTTAATGCATTGTTTTCTGCACTGCAAACAAACTATAAACTGAGTGGAAGCAAAGATACGGACAATGTGTTCGCGACGGCAAAAAATTACGATGGATGCAGTTGTAGTCTTTCAGCTAATTGTATTCGTCAATCGTCGATTTATGATTATAATACTATGACAATATTATTCAATGTAACCGGTTTTTACACAGGATGCAATGTGATTGAATCATTACTTCAATCAACTCTTGAATGCTTTTATAATCAATTCTGTATAAATGAATTACAAAAATATTTAGTATCGTCGCCAATACATGTATCAGCTCTTGACTGGTCACCGCTAATAAGTCGGTATCAGAAAACGACAACTATTAACAATCTTCTATCTAATTTAATGATAGAACAATGGAGTTCGAACGTATCGTATTTAAACTATTATGAAGCGTGTAATCCAGAATACTGTTCTTATCAGACTACTGTTAACAATATGAAAATTAATACAATTTACATTGTCGTTCTAATGCTTTTTATTGCTGGTGGTCCATTATCCGTTTTAAAACTTCTCATAGCAGCATTGACAAAAATCATTGTATGCTGTGTTCGTAAATCGCCAAGACAGGTCGTTCCAGAAGTGTCGATCATTTATACATAACTACTACTATATTGACAACAATTATGCTTCGCATGCTTTAAAAAAAATGATTAGTTGCATGAAACAGAGACGTATAATTGGCAGATCAAAGAGACAAAATATTGCTATATTTTCTGTCATACTAAAAGACTTTGCAACAAAAAAAATAAAAAAAAAGCTTCGCTTAAAAATAGAATTATGTATTCTTTTCGAATAACTTAAAGATGAAGGTAGGTGTTGATATTACTTCAATCAAAAAGGTTTATATTTTTTAGGCTTCAGCAAAAAATAGTGAATGATGTCAAATATAAAAAATCAGTCTTGTATATATAATTATCATTTTCGAGAAATTTACGTTATATAATTAATGTTGAAGAACATTCTTCATTTAATATTTCTAATAATAAGTCACAATGAGTTTGATTTTACTTCTGTACGAGTGTGAGTGTGGGTACTCTATCCCTTTCTCACTCTCACCCACATTTATCCATGCATATCTACACCTCTACGTGGTCAGCATTTTCCGATGAAATCGAATTTATGTTCATCTAAGCTTAAAATTAAAACGCAAGAAGGGTGTGGGTGGGTGTAATTGTGGGTGTGGTCTGGATTGGTGGACAATGATCCCACACCCACCCACACCCACACCCTCAAAACATTTCTAAATTTTCTTAATGCACTTTTTATCGATATATGAGTACTATTTAACTTTTCATTCTCTTATTCTAAATATTATAAACACAACCGCATCATCTTGAAAACTAATCTGTGGTCAATTATTTTCACTCTTTGAAGTATACATAACACCCGGATTTAAATCCGAGATTTTCACATTTATTTATATCATAACATTTATTTGGAAATCATGTCATCTGTTTGTAGAGACATCATCAAAGTCTTCAAAAGATTGACGATTTTGAACAGGAAAAAAATCAGCAGTACTACTGAACAACGTTCTTTTCCCCATTCATTGAATTTTGTCCATACTTTTGCCAGAACATATTTCTAAAGATATTTTCAGGATCGAGATGTTTCTTCAGTTCAAGCCACTGATTCACACGAGGATAAGCTTTGTAAAACTGTTCT